CAACACGGGGAAACTCACCCGGCCCGGACACTGTGAGGATTGACAGATTGATAGCTTTTTCATGATTCAGTGGATGGTGGTGCATGGCCGTTCTTAGTTCGTGGAGTGATTTGTCTGGTTTATTCCGATAACGAGCGAGACTCTAACCTACTAAATAGCTGGTACATACTCTTAGTGTATACAGCTTCTTAGAGGGATTTGCGGTGTTCAGCCGAAAGAAATTGAGCAATAACAGGTCTGTGATGCCCTTAGATGTCCGGGGCTGCACGCGCGCTACACTGGCAAAATCAACGTGCTTGTCCTACCCCGAAAGGGGCGGGTAAACCATTGAAAATTTGCCGTGATTGGGATCGGAAATTGCAATTATTTTCCGTGAACGAGGAATTCCAAGTAAGTGCGAGTCATCAGCTCGCGTTGATTACGTCCCTGCCCTTTGTACACACCGCCCGTCGCTGCCCGGGACTGAGCCATTTCGAGAAATTTGGGGACCGTTGATTTAATTTTTCTAAATTACTTTGATGGAAACCAATTTAATCGCAGTGGCTTGAACCGGGCAAAAGTCGTAACAAGGTAGCTGTAGGTGAACCTGCTGCTGGATCATTACTTTATGTGATGTTGAAATTTGAATTCGCAACATAAATATATTGTTGTGAAACGGCTGTCGCTGGTGTCTAGGTGTTGCTGATACAGTTGTGAACGTCCGTGGCTGTATATGTGGTGACATGTTAGGACTAAGACTTAATGAGCCTCTTAAGTGAGGACGCCAGCACTCTTTTTTTCTCTATATTTTTAAAAAAAAACTAAAATTCTAGCCTTATCGGTGGATCACTCGGCTCGTGGATCGATGAAGAACGCAGCAAACTGCGATAATTTGTGCGAACTGCAGAAACCTTGAGCACAAAAGTTTTGAACGCATATTGCCGCATTGGGGTCAAACCTTTTGCTACGTCTGGTTCAGGGTCATTTTCTTTTAAAGCGAAAGCTTTAATTTATATATGCTATTGATGCTTTATATTTTAAGAGGATTGTTGTTTATCCTAGTTGTATGAATATAACTACAAGAACCAAACAATTTTGACCTGAACTCAGTCGAGAGCACCCGCTGAACTTAAGCATATCAGTAAGCGGAGGAAAAGAAACTAAACAGGATTCCCCCAGTAACGGCGAGTGAACAGGGAAATGTCCATCGCTAAATCATTTTGTCTCAGGCATTATGAGGTGTCTTTTCGAAGCGGTCCTTGTACTTGATCCACTCGTACCAATAGCCGAGCGAGTTATGGTCTCCGTTGTACTGCAGCACCTGAGAAGGAAAGAAAACAAGTTATGAATTAGATTACTAATAAAAAGACTCAACGTACCTGAATCATGCCGCCAAGATCTACTTTCCCTGTGAGCTCAGCCTTGCCGTACGGAAATGAAGCTTGTACAACGCCAGCATCGTTCCATGCGTAGCCGTGCACCGGCTTTCCGTTCTTGTACCACAGTGCGACGTACATGTTCTGCTGGCCCAGCACTTTGACAGGATTGTCCGGAAATGGCGACCCGATCGGTTTGAACGCCCACGTATCCTCATTCGGGGCTGTATTGCTGTGAAGTTGAAGTTGCATGAAGATATGTTGTTGTTGACGGTGACGAGTATGAAAAACGAGCTGCTTTTATAGTGTTTTTTTGCTGATATTCCAGTCTTCCTTCTTGATAATATACTATAAAAGCCCCCACATTTCATTCTTTTCCACCAGCTCTAATGCAATTCTACATGCTCATCCGCTGCCTTCATCCAATGGGGCTCGACACCGGACCTTTGGCCAAAAAGTCGTCAACGCTGTGCTCTCTGCTGCTGCTGCTCACCATCGCCGCACATGCAATTCCCGGTCAGGACAACAGCGAAGAAGTCGGATTCGGCAAGCACACGAAGACAAACGACACAGTGATGCTCGCCGGCGAACCCATAGTTGCCAACAATACGTACTTCAACTTTACTAGTTGTCGCTTCAAGGAGCTGTATCCGGACGCCTGCGATGTTTCAATCGAAGACGACTACATGTGAGGACTTTTTTTATTCTTTTAAAGACTAATCGTAACTAACATTTTCTTTTATTTCAGCGAGCTTCGGTACAACAACGGCAGCAAGGGATGCACTGTGGATCTTCTCAGCAAAAACGCGTCGAACAACAGCACGATCAAGTTCACGACCGGAGTGCGAAACATAAAAGGAGGACTCAGCAAATGCCTTGATGTTGGTCATAAACTCGACGGAAGCTATAACAACACGTGAGTTTTTACTTCCTTATTCTATTTGGCAGCTAATTTATGTTCCTTAACAGGATTCTTAACAGGCATTGCAAGTTTACTTTGAACAAATCAGAGTGCTTCAAACAGGCGTTTTCGCTTGAATGATCGTGCATGGAATAATAGAAAACGATTTTGGTTCAGTTTTATTGGTTTTACGGACTGAGATTTGTATGGCCCCGTGAGAGGTGAAATTCTTGGACCGTGGCCAGACAAACTACAGCGAAAGCATTTGCCAAGAATGTCTTCATTAATCAAGAACGAAAGTCAGAGGTTCGAAGGCGATCAGATACCGCCCTAGTTCTGACCGTAAACGATGCCAACTAGCGATCCGCCGATGGAAATTATATTGCCTTGGTGGGGAGCTTCCCGGAAACGAAAGTCTTCCGGTTCCGGGGGAAGTATGGTTGCAAAGCTGAAACTTAAAGGAATTGACGGAAGGGCACCACCAGGAGTGGAGCCTGCGGCTTAATTTGACTCAACACGGGGAAACTCACCCGGCCCGGACACTGTGAGGATTGACAGATTGATAGCTTTTTCATGATTCAGTGGATGGTGGTGCATGGCCGTTCTTAGTTCGTGGAGTGATTTGTCTGGTTTATTCCGATAACGAGCGAGACTCTAACCTACTAAATAGCTGGTACATACTCTTAGTGTATACAGCTTCTTAGAGGGATTTGCGGTGTTCAGCCGAAAGAAATTGAGCAATAACAGGTCTGTGATGCCCTTAGATGTCCGGGGCTGCACGCGCGCTACACTGGCAAAATCAACGTGCTTGTCCTACCCCGAAAGGGGCGGGTAAACCATTGAAAATTTGCCGTGATTGGGATCGGAAATTGCAATTATTTTCCGTGAACGAGGAATTCCAAGTAAGTGCGAGTCATCAGCTCGCGTTGATTACGTCCCTGCCCTTTGTACACACCGCCCGTCGCTGCCCGGGACTGAGCCATTTCGAGAAATTTGGGGACCGTTGATTTAATTTTTCTAAATTACTTTGATGGAAACCAATTTAATCGCAGTGGCTTGAACCGGGCAAAAGTCGTAACAAGGTAGCTGTAGGTGAACCTGCTGCTGGATCATTACTTTATGTGATGTTGAAATTTGAATTCGCAACATAAATATATTGTTGTGAAACGGCTGTCGCTGGTGTCTAGGTGTTGCTGATACAGTTGTGAACGTCCGTGGCTGTATATGTGGTGACATGTTAGGACTAAGACTTAATGAGCCTCTTAAGTGAGGACGCCAGCACTCTTTTTTTCTCTATATTTTTAAAAAAAAACTAAAATTCTAGCCTTATCGGTGGATCACTCGGCTCGTGGATCGATGAAGAACGCAGCAAACTGCGATAATTTGTGCGAACTGCAGAAACCTTGAGCACAAAAGTTTTGAACGCATATTGCCGCATTGGGGTCAAACCTTTTGCTACGTCTGGTTCAGGGTCATTTTCTTTTAAAGCGAAAGCTTTAATTTATATATGCTATTGATGCTTTATATTTTAAGAGGATTGTTGTTTATCCTAGTTGTATGAATATAACTACAAGAACCAAACAATTTTGACCTGAACTCAGTCGAGAGCAACCGCTGAACTTAAGCATATCAGTAAGCGGAGGAAAAGAAACTAAACAGGATTCCCCCAGTAACGGCGAGTGAACAGGGAAATGTCCATCGCTAAATCATTTTGTCTCAGGCATTATGAGGTGTAGCGTATAAGCCGTAATTTTTGATCAAGTGTCTCAAACAAGTCCCCTTGACAGGGGTTCCACAGAAGGTGCAAGTGTCCTGTACATTGAGATAATTGATCGATATCTGCGTGCTTTAGAGTCGGGTTGTTTGGGATCGCAGCCCAAAGTCGGTGGTAAACTTCATCTAAGACTTAATATTGCCACGAGACCGATAGCAAACAAGTCACTCACTCACTCACTCACTCACACCCAATCTTAATTTTGGAGTCCCATGGGGTATCCCCCCTTCAGGGAGGATCCCCCATTACTAGTCCTCCATCGGTTTTACGCTCCATTAGACTCACTAACCATTTTTTAGGTTAGTGAATCTTGTGAAGCCTCTCCTCTTACCTGCCTAGATTCACTAATCAGAGATTAAGTGAATCTAGGGACGCGTATATGTCCTCCACTGTGCCGTTTGCTGAAGTGGCTCCTGTTCCGTCCTCCGCTGTGCTGTTTGCTGTAGTCGCTCCTGTTCCGGTTTCCGCTTGTCCTATACTCCCTGGTGCTCCTTCTTCTGCTGCTGGCCCCTGCTCGGTCTCGTCTTCTACGTTGCCCTCATTGCCATAGTGTGCTGTCAACTGTTCCGTTAAACACGTATCACAAGGGCACCACGGTGGAGACCCCTTTAGATTTCTAAAAATAGGGATACATTCTCACAAAAATCTAAACTCATAAACTTACCGAACGATGATCATCATCTCCGAGAGCGGTTTTCCAAGGACGCATTCCGCCTTTCCAGCTTGTGAAAGGTAGGCTTCTTCCGTCTTCATGTTCAAGGTGCCGAGCAGTGTTCCACCAGGACGATTAACCCATAGAATGGGCATCGAGTCGCCGCACCGAACCAGTTGACGTTCATCGGTCTTTTCGAAGCGGTCCTTGTACTTGATCCACTCGTACCAATAGCCGAGCGAGTTATGGTCTCCGTTGTACTGCAGCACCTGAGAAGGAAAGAAAACAAGTTATGAATTAGATTACTAATAAAAAGACTCAACGTACCTGAATCATGCCGCCAAGATCTACTTTCCCTGTGAGCTCAGCCTTGCCGTACGGAAATGAAGCTTGTACAACGCCAGCATCGTTCCATGCGTAGCCGTGCACCGGCTTTCCGTTCTTGTACCACAGTGCGACGTACATGTTCTGCTGGCCCAGCACTTTGACAGGATTGTCCGGAAATGGCGACCCGATCGGTTTGAACGCCCACGTATCCTCATTCGGGGCTGTATTGCTGTGAAGTTGAAGTTGCATGAAGATATGTTGTTGTTGACGGTGACGAGTATGAAAAACGAGCTGCTTTTATAGTGTTTTTTTGCTGATATTCCAGTCTTCCTTCTTGATAATATACTATAAAAGCCCCCACATTTCATTCTTTTCCACCAGCTCTAATGCAATTCTACATGCTCATCCGCTGCCTTCATCCAATGGGGCTCGACACCGGACCTTTGGCCAAAAAGTCGTCAACGCTGTGCTCTCTGCTGCTGCTGCTCACCATCGCCGCACATGCAATTCCCGGTCAGGACAACAGCGAAGAAGTCGGATTCGGCAAGCACACGAAGACAAACGACACAGTGATGCTCGCCGGCGAACCCATAGTTGCCAACAATACGTACTTCAACTTTACTAGTTGTCGCTTCAAGGAGCTGTATCCGGACGCCTGCGATGTTTCAATCGAAGACGACTACATGTGAGGACTTTTTTTATTCTTTTAAAGACTAATCGTAACTAACATTTTCTTTTATTTCAGCGAGCTTCGGTACAACAACGGCAGCAAGGGATGCACTGTGGATCTTCTCAGCAAAAACGCGTCGAACAACAGCACGATCAAGTTCACGACCGGAGTGCGAAACATAAAAGGAGGACTCAGCAAATGCCTTGATGTTGGTCATAAACTCGACGGAAGCTATAACAACACGTGAGTTTTTACTTCCTTATTCTATTTGGCAGCTAATTTATGTTCCTTAACAGGATTCTTAACAGGCATTGCAAGTTTACTTTGAACAAATCAGAGTGCTTCAAACAGGCGTTTTCGCTTGAATGATCGTGCATGGAATAATAGAAAACGATTTTGGTTCAGTTTTATTGGTTTTACGGACTGAGATTTGTATGGCCCCGTGAGAGGTGAAATTCTTGGACCGTGGCCAGACAAACTACAGCGAAAGCATTTGCCAAGAATGTCTTCATTAATCAAGAACGAAAGTCAGAGGTTCGAAGGCGATCAGATACCGCCCTAGTTCTGACCGTAAACGATGCCAACTAGCGATCCGCCGATGGAAATTATATTGCCTTGGTGGGGAGCTTCCCGGAAACGAAAGTCTTCCGGTTCCGGGGGAAGTATGGTTGCAAAGCTGAAACTTAAAGGAATTGACGGAAGGGCACCACCAGGAGTGGAGCCTGCGGCTTAATTTGACTCAACACGGGGAAACTCACCCGGCCCGGACACTGTGAGGATTGACAGATTGATAGCTTTTTCATGATTCAGTGGATGGTGGTGCATGGCCGTTCTTAGTTCGTGGAGTGATTTGTCTGGTTTATTCCGATAACGAGCGAGACTCTAACCTACTAAATAGCTGGTACATACTCTTAGTGTATACAGCTTCTTAGAGGGATTTGCGGTGTTCAGCCGAAAGAAATTGAGCAATAACAGGTCTGTGATGCCCTTAGATGTCCGGGGCTGCACGCGCGCTACACTGGCAAAATCAACGTGCTTGTCCTACCCCGAAAGGGGCGGGTAAACCATTGAAAATTTGCCGTGATTGGGATCGGAAATTGCAATTATTTTCCGTGAACGAGGAATTCCAAGTAAGTGCGAGTCATCAGCTCGCGTTGATTACGTCCCTGCCCTTTGTACACACCGCCCGTCGCTGCCCGGGACTGAGCCATTTCGAGAAATTTGGGGACCGTTGATTTAATTTTTCTAAATTACTTTGATGGAAACCAATTTAATCGCAGTGGCTTGAACCGGGCAAAAGTCGTAACAAGGTAGCTGTAGGTGAACCTGCTGCTGGATCATTACTTTATGTGATGTTGAAATTTGAATTCGCAACATAAATATATTGTTGTGAAACGGCTGTCGCTGGTGTCTAGGTGTTGCTGATACAGTTGTGAACGTCCGTGGCTGTATATGTGGTGACATGTTAGGACTAAGACTTAATGAGCCTCTTAAGTGAGGACGCCAGCACTCTTTTTTTCTCTATATTTTTAAAAAAAAACTAAAATTCTAGCCTTATCGGTGGATCACTCGGCTCGTGGATCGATGAAGAACGCAGCAAACTGCGATAATTTGTGCGAACTGCAGAAACCTTGAGCACAAAAGTTTTGAACGCATATTGCCGCATTGGGGTCAAACCTTTTGCTACGTCTGGTTCAGGGTCATTTTCTTTTAAAGCGAAAGCTTTAATTTATATATGCTATTGATGCTTTATATTTTAAGAGGATTGTTGTTTATCCTAGTTGTATGAATATAACTACAAGAACCAAACAATTTTGACCTGAACTCAGTCGAGAGCACCCGCTGAACTTAAGCATATCAGTAAGCGGAGGAAAAGAAACTAAACAGGATTCCCCCAGTAACGGCGAGTGAACAGGGAAATGTCCATCGCTAAATCATTTTGTCTCAGGCATTATGAGGTGTAGCGTATAAGCCGTAATTTTTGATCAAGTGTCTCAAACAAGTCCCCTTGACAGGGGTTCCACAGAAGGTGCAAGTCCTGTACATTGAGATAATTGATCGATATCTGCGTGCTTTAGAGTCGGGTTGTTTGGGATCGCAGCCCAAAGTCGGTGGTAAACTTCATCTAAGACTTAATATTGCCACGAGACCGATAGCAAACAAATACTGTGAAGGAAAGTTGCAAAGCACTTTGAAGAGAGAGTTAAAGAGGACGTGAAACCGGTGAGGTGGAAACAGATAGAGTCGGCGTATCTTTCAAGTATTCATTTACATTATTCTTATGTTGTGATATCTGAGCTCCAGATTGGGACAGAAAGATACATTCTCACAAAAATCTAAACTCATAAACTTACCGAACGATGATCATCATCTCCGAGAGCGGTTTTCCAAGGACGCATTCCGCCTTTCCAGCTTGTGAAAAGTAGGCTTCTTCCGTCTTCATGTTCAAGGTGCCGAGCAGTGTTCCACCAGGACGATTAATTTTCACTCACTCACTCACTCACTCACTCACTCACACCCAATCTTAATTTTGGAGTCCCATGGGGTATCCCCCCTTCAGGTAGGATCCCCCATTACTAGTCCTCCATCGGTTTTACGCTCCATTAGACTCACTAACCATTTTTTAGGTTAGTGAATCTTGTGAAGCCTCTCCTCTTACCTGCCTAGATTCACTAATCAGAGATTAAGTGAATCTAGGGACGCGTATATGTCCTCCACTGTGCCGTTTGCTGAAGTGGCTCCTGTTCCGTCCTCCGCTGTGCTGTTTGCTGTAGTCGCTCCTGTTCCGGTTTCCGCTTGTCCTATACTCCCTGGTGCTCCTTCTTCTGCTGCTGGCCCCTGCTCGGTCTCGTCTTCTACGTTGCCCTCATTGCCATAGTGTGCTGTCAACTGTTCCGTTAGACACGTATCACAAGGGCAGACCCCTTTAGATTTCTAAAAATAGGGATACATTCTCACAAAAATCTAAACTCATAAACTTACCGAACGATGATCATCATCTCCGAGAGCGGTTTTCTTCCGTCTTCATGTTCAAGGTGCCGAGCAGTGTTCCACCAGGACGATTAACCCATAGAATGGGCATCGAGTCGCCGCACCGAACCAGTTGACGTTCATCGGTCTTTTCGAAGCGGTCCTTGTACTTGATCCACTCGTACCAATAGCCGAGCGAGTTATGGTCTCCGTTGTACTGCAGCACCTGAGAAGGAAAGAAAACAAGTTATGAATTAGATTACTAATAAAAAGACTCAACGTACCTGAATCATGCCGCCAAGATCTACTTTCCCTGTGAGCTCAGCCTTGCCGTACGGAAATGAAGCTTGTACAACGCCAGCATCGTTCCATGCGTAGCCGTGCACCGGCTTTCCGTTCTTGTACCACAGTGCGACGTACATGTTCTGCTGGCCCAGCACTTTGACAGGATTGTCCGGAAATGGCGACCCGATCGGTTTGAACGCCCACGTATCCTCATTCGGGGCTGTATTGCTGTGAAGTTGAAGTTGCATGAAGATATGTTGTTGTTGACGGTGACGAGTATGAAAAACGAGCTGCTTTTATAGTGTTTTTTTGCTGATATTCCAGTCTTCCTTCTTGATAATATACTATAAAAGCCCCCACATTTCATTCTTTTCCACCAGCTCTAATGCAATTCTACATGCTCATCCGCTGCCTTCATCCAATGGGGCTCGACACCGGACCTTTGGCCAAAAAGTCGTCAACGCTGTGCTCTCTGCTGCTGCTGCTCACCATCGCCGCACATGCAATTCCCGGTCAGGACAACAGCGAAGAAGTCGGATTCGGCAAGCACACGAAGACAAACGACACAGTGATGCTCGCCGGCGAACCCATAGTTGCCAACAATACGTACTTCAACTTTACTAGTTGTCGCTTCAAGGAGCTGTATCCGGACGCCTGCGATGTTTCAATCGAAGACGACTACATGTGAGGACTTTTTTTATTCTTTTAAAGACTAATCGTAACTAACATTTTCTTTTATTTCAGCGAGCTTCGGTACAACAACGGCAGCAAGGGATGCACTGTGGATCTTCTCAGCAAAAACGCGTCGAACAACAGCACGATCAAGTTCACGACCGGAGTGCGAAACATAAAAGGAGGACTCAGCAAATGCCTTGATGTTGGTCATAAACTCGACGGAAGCTATAACAACACGTGAGTTTTTACTTCCTTATTCTATTTGGCAGCTAATTTATGTTCCTTAACAGGATTCTTAACAGGCATTGCAAGTTTACTTTGAACAAATCAGAGTGCTTCAAACAGGCGTTTTCGCTTGAATGATCGTGCATGGAATAATAGAAAACGATTTTGGTTCAGTTTTATTGGTTTTACGGACTGAGATTTGTATGGCCCCGTGAGAGGTGAAATTCTTGGACCGTGGCCAGACAAACTACAGCGAAAGCATTTGCCAAGAATGTCTTCATTAATCAAGAACGAAAGTCAGAGGTTCGAAGGCGATCAGATACCGCCCTAGTTCTGACCGTAAACGATGCCAACTAGCGATCCGCCGATGGAAATTATATTGCCTTGGTGGGGAGCTTCCCGGAAACGAAAGTCTTCCGGTTCC